TGTGGGACACTCTTACACGACACTCTTGTAGGACACTCTTGTGGGACACTCTTGTAGGACACTCTTATAGGACACTCTTGTCGAACACTCTTGTGGGACACTCTTGTAGGACACTCTTGTGGGACACTCTTGTAGGACACTCTTGTGGGACACTCTTGTGGGACACTCTTGTGGGACACTCTTGTGGGACACTCTTGTAGGACACTCTTGTAGGACACTCTTGTGGGACACTCTTGTGGGATACTCCTGTAGGACACTCTTAAGGGCCACTCTTGTGAGACACTCTAGTGGGACACTGTTGTGGGACAGTCTTGTAGGACACTCTTGTGGGACACTCTTGTAGGACACTCTTGTGGGACACTCTTCTGGGACACTCTTGTAGGACACTCTTGTGGGCCACTCTTGTAGGAAACTCTTGTGGGACACTCTTGTAGGACACTCTTGTGGGACACTCTTATAGGACACTCTGGTGGAATACTCTTGTGGGACACTCTTGTGGGACACTCTTGTAGGACACTCTTGTGGGACACTCTTGTAGAACGCTTGTGTGTGGGTCACTTGCAGGACACTCTTGTGGGACACTCTTACACGACACTCTTGTAGGACACTCTTGTGGGACACTCTTGTAGGACACTCTTGTAGGACACTCTTGTGGGACACTCTTGTGGGACACTCTTGTGGGACACTCTTATAGGACACTCTTGTGGGACACTCTTGTGGGACACTCCTCTTGTAGGACAGTCTTGTAGGACACTCTTGTGGGACACTCTTGTAGGACACTCTTGTGGGACACTCTTCTGGGACACTCTTGTAGGAAACTCTTGTAGGACACTCTTGTGGGTCACTCTTGTGGGGCACTCTTGTAGGAAACTCTTGTGGGACACTCTTCTGGGACACTCTTGTAGGACACTCTTGTAGGACACTCTTGTGGGTCACTCTTGTGGGATACTCTTGTCGGACACTCTTAACGGACACTCTTGTGGGACACTCTTGTGGGACACTCTTGTGGGACACTCTTGTAGGACACTCTTGTGGGACACTCTTGTGGGACACTCTTGTAGAACACTCTTGTGGGACACTCTTGTCGGACACTCTTGTGGGACGCTCTTGTGGGACACTTTTGCGGGACACTCTTGTGGGACACTCTTGTGGGACACTCTTGTAGGACACTCGGGACACTCTTGTGTGACACTGTTGTGGGACACTCTTCTGGGACACTCTTGTAGGACACTCTTGTAGGACACTCTTGTGGGTCACTCTTGTCGGACACTCTTGTGGGACACTCTTGTAGGACACTCTTCTGGGACACTCTTGTAGGACACTCTTGTAGGGCACTCTTGTGCGACACTCTTGTGGGACACTCTGTGGGACACTCTTGTGGGACTCTCTTGTGGGACACTCTTGTAGGATACGGCACCAGTTTGTATGGAGACTTCTTCTTCTTGTCCTCGGACTTCACCTTCTCCTTCTCGTCGTCGTAGAAGCTGGACTTCACAAAGACCAGTCGCTCGTTCCACGTGGTCAGCTGATCCAGTGGCGTGAGAGGCATTTTCTGTTCCTGGCGACATTCTTCGCAGCGGATCCAGGTCATATGGCGGTTGCCGCCGTGCTTGGTCACCATGTGGTTGCAGTAGGGACTTGGTTCCAGCTTGGGCGCCAAGTACTTGCCTCGACCTTGGATCATTGCAAGTGGTCGGACTCGATCCTCGTCGCGGGTCATCATCAAAGATCCCGAAGGTGCCGACGTCGACGAGGTGGCTTCCGCCATGATCTGCTGCTCGGATTGTTGCAAAGCCAGAACTTTTCTCTCGAGCTTCTCGCGCTGCTGCTGGATCTGTCTGACAGCACGTAGTTGAGGAGTGCGGCTCAGCTCCAACAGGATCTGGTGGACCTGAAGGGAAACATAGGGGTAGAGCCGCAGTAGCAAGCGCCGCCAACGAGCGAGGGAGAGGCATAGCTTGGGCATCTGACAATGCGAGGGCTGTCCAATCCGGAATGGTCTCAATCGACCAGGCCTTGCTTGAGGAGAATGCATAGTCGGCCGGAATGTGAAATCCATCTCCAAACTCACAAATGTTGATCGACACGTGTCCGGACGGCTGACGACACATCTTCAAACAAATTCCAATCTTCATGAACATGATCGCGCAATGCTTCATGTCAATCACTGCTTCAAGCTGGGTGAGGAAGTACGCAGGAATCAAAATGGGAATCTGACCAGGAACAATTTGAACACGAAGCACCCCTGAGCGACCACCCAAACCGATAGGGATATAGCCCACTTTGGTTGTCTCCTCTTGTCCACAAACACCACGAACCGTTCCACCTTGTTCTGCAGACCACTGCACCTGAAGACCATGGTGTTGTTGGAGGTACCGATCATGATGAACCAAAGTGTCATACCCCACCAGGCCATGTTGAGCAGCTGTATCAACCAATGCAGTCCCCTCGTGGATGGTGGAATTCAAAAACACAAATGAAAGGCCCGTGAAGTCCCGGAGCATGTATTCTCCATTCTTCTCGCCATCCACGACAGTCAGAAACTGCCCAAAGCCGCTCATGAGCTTCGGAGGTTCAGTGAAGAACCCAGTTGACATCGAATTGCCGCTCATGACACTTCGTGCTGGTGAGCTGGCTGAAGATCCAAGCATCTTTCCTTTCTGAGGGCATTCTCGTGACCAATGCCCGATCTGTTTGCATTGGTGGCACCTGGTCTTCGACTTGATCTCGCTGAGGGACATGCGAGATCCCTGACGCTGTTGCCAGGGGCGGTCATAGCCACGGCCATTTCTTGAAGCTTGCAACAGCCGCCGATGCTCCAGGTGGCCACCGCCTCCTTTGCCATGACTAGGTGCGCTCTGCCCATAGGTGCGAGCTGGGCGCTTGCCTTTTCCACCTTTTCCTTTCTTGCCTTTGCCACGGCCTTTTCCATGATGAAGCCGGTTCTGAAACTCATAGAACACCTCCTCAAGGCCACTGCCGAAGGTCTCAATGGCCTCATGCTCATCCATCACCACAGGAAGTTCCTGCGGGAACACCAGCTGTGCTTCCGAACCATCGTCGTTCAGGGCGATGAGGTCTTCAAACCAATCTTCTTCTTCTTCATAAAACTCACCACATGTCGAGGCGGCTGCCTCATCATCCCAGTCGGCGTCATCACCCTCCTCATCGAAGTAGGCGTTGCTTCGCCAACGACGAGGGTGGTGAGGATGTGGTGCCTCATGCTGTGCATCATCAAGCTTATCACCAAACACCTTCTGAATTGCCAGCTCTAGATCCTTGAAGTCTATGGATCCATTTGTAACCACCTTCAGGCGCTGCTTCTGGTCCTGGGAGAATGCGCCTTGTCGAAGGATCAAATGGCCAAGAAGGTGCCGGCCGGCAGAGGTCTCCAAAAGGTCGAGACCTTGTTTTCGCAATTCCGCGAAAGCAGCACGCTTGCTGGTGAGGAAGGCTGTGAGCGAGGTGCCTTTGTCTCTCTTGCCTCGGAAAATCGCCTCCTCGAATGCTTGCTCCAATCTATGATCTTTCAAATACTCATGAGCACTTTCGATGAGACCCACAATGATCTTATGCCCATTCTCAGCCGTGATCTCATCGACAGTGAGGTGCGCGAGCAATGCCGACAGCTTTGAACCCAATGGAATGCTATCCAAGATACGCTTGCCGATCAGGTTGTGCGGCAAACGAGCTTCGGCCTCAACCAGCCACAACTGCAAGTTGCGCTGGTACTCTTTGAAGTTCTTCTCAGGCTGATCTCCGCCCCAGACTGGAGCGGGGTCCAGCCGGTAGTCCACATACTTCCGGACAGAACCATCCTTAGCATTGCTCGGCGTCCGCACCGGTGAACTTCGTCCCGCTGCCAAAGCATCAGCCCAGGGATCACCATGGAGGAGTTCATGGTCGGCTTGAACAGGTACTTCCGAAGGCTGAAGATCAAGTGGTCGGAGTCCACTTGCCGATGCGGGCCTCAGAGGGGATGCGATCGGAGCAGGCGATGGTGTAGAGGCCTGTTGTGGTGGCGTGGCCGCCGGAGTCTTAGGAACAGGAGCTGCTGGAGTTGGTGAGGCAGTCATCCTTGTTGATGTTGCTCCAACTCCGCCACGCCAAGTGCGCTGAGCGCCATTCCCAGACATTCTGGTACTGGAAGGGCTCCACCACGTAGGCGAAGAGCTTATTGAAGGTCAAGACCAAGAAGTGCTGGCGTAGTTCGCCGCAAGGAGAATTGGGTCTTGTAGTCGGCCAAGTTCAGGCCAAAGCCAACCAGTGAGGTTGGAAGGAGAAAACACAAAAGCAGGTCCAAGGGCTCAACCCAAAGTCAAACTTGCCGTCGAAGGCCTCGTCAACGAGGAACAAGAAGTCGCGATGGTCGGGTGGGGCGTCCCCCACCAGATCTCGGAGTCGACTCGGAGCCCAGGTCGTCACCCGGGCTCCGCTACCATGAAGTGCGGAGACTCGCAAAACGCCCCTTTTCTCAAAGAGAAGGCTCAAGGGCCCTGTCGGTCGATTTGGGCCGAAGGGGCACGGAAGGATCAGTGATGGTGCTGGGCTAACATGCATGGTTTTCCACAACAAGTATATACAGTATATGCATATACATATGCATGTACACAATAAACAACAATTCAAGTAAAATAAACACTACAGTATATATATATATATAATAATGTCATCATATGTAAATATGTGTATGTATATATATATATATGTGTGTGTGTGTCTCTGTGGAGAAATGGATGTGGCGTCTGTCTCCTAAGCCCCCATCCAAGTGGACCCAATCCCAACTAACCCAATTCTACTTCAAGCAAATCTACTGACTTGTGCGTGGTAGGGAATGAGGGAATGGATCCAATGGAATCTCTCTATTGAGGGGCTCATGCCCTTACTCTCTACAAGTCGCACTCGTCAGTCTATGGAATATCCGGAAGTTCTCGGCTCTTTCCTACCTCTTGGTTGTCACCTCGGGAGCCTTTCAGCCCCAAACACCCCAACCGCCGCACCTGGAGCGCCGTGGAGCTGCGCAACGGGTTCTTCGCCACACCGGCGCTGCGGCGACCCGCGCGTGAGGAGCTGCGCTTCCAGGTCACCAGGGAGCCCTCCAGCATGACGTCACCCTGAAAGCCGCGCGGAGCTTCTCACCCAAGAGTCACGAACCTCCACCCACAAAACAAGAAGGGTCCGTTTTTAATTGGTGAAGTTGTTTGTTTCGCTTGGTTTTTGTTGCGGCCGTGGTGCCCCTATAGTTCCTGTGGAAGTGGACAGTCACCTGTTTCTAGAAGAAAGGCCTTCCACGAGGTGTTCCACTGATTTCGCCCGGCGAAATCCCATTGGAGCGACATGATGAGCCAAGCCAAATCGGCCGAAGGGTGAACTAACATGTGACCAGTGCGTGTTTGTTTCACCTTACGGGACAACCAAAGTGCATCATATGGAACAAACCTCTGAATACTACACCAAGTAATGCGAAGAATGTACTTCACCAAACCGGCAGAAAGCAACAACAGCTTTGTTCACTTGCTGCGGCACCAGCTTGCTGCGGCACGGCTACCAACACCCCGAGACGCAGCGCACGCGGCCGAACACACCTGGCAGCAGCACACCGCACCCTCCAAATCTCTGGCCCCTCACCCACCAGCACCGCTCCAAAGCGCAGAACCCCAATAGCTCTCGCTATCTGTGGAAACTATAGAAAGCTATTAACAAACTCAAGGCTTGAAAAGCCAGACATGAAAAGCAACAAAGCAATTGCAGTAACAAACGGGGAAATTGACCACGCGAAGACAAGAAGCAGGAAAGTAAGGAAAAGCAGTAGAGAAGCAAGGAGAAGGAAGATAGCACAAAAAAGCAAGAAAAGCAAGGAAAGGAGGAGAAATCACAGAGAAGCAATGAAAAGCAAGACAAGCACAAAACAGGGAGGAAACGCAAGAAAGGCATGAGATATCACAAAGAAGCAATGCAAAGCAAATGAAAACAATGAAAAGCCAGAAAAGCAGCAAGAAGCAGGAAAGACACGGAGAAGTGACTCTAAAAGAATATCCCTAGGCTCGAAACGAAACGAAACACAGAAACAAACAAATTAGCCCTTCCAAGAAAGAGAAAACAAACTACCTTGGCCTCAAGTCCTACAGGGTTGTCCTTCTGGGAAAGGGGTGCCGGCCATGTGCCGTGGTCGAAGGCTTTGGCCGAGCGCCGGCTTCGTAGGGAAGGAATCCAGGAACCTACGAAAAAAGAAAACGAGGAGCAAAAGAATTGGGGAAACCATGAAAGAAACTGTTCGTGAAAATGATGGAACAACTTTCAACTCTTCACTTTTCACACAGTTGAGTCGAAGCCGGTGAGTGAGGAGTCTCAGGAGCGGAGTTTTTCAGCAAGAAGGAAGTTCTTTCTTCCCACTACATACTCTCAACTACTTGCTGGGACTTTCTAGACCCTAGTAGTTGAGGGTATCCCACTACAGGGTGTTGAAGAATCGTGGATCGCGTCCATGTTGCGCACGTTGCGCAGGTTGCACGTTGCGCTGTCTCACGTGGACACTCATCCTTCGCCCCTCCAACATCCGAAGTGCACCGTTTGTTCCAACAAAAACCACAGCCGAAGTGCCGGATGCGCCCTGCGATGGGTCCACTAGTGTCACTAGTTCGCCACATCCACATGAGTGATCGAAGCATATGAGCCCGGCAAACGACGTGTGCCAGCACGCCAGACACACGGACCCCACACCCGAAAAGCCCCACCTGGAAAAGCAGCATGGCGAGGACAGGAGACGGGCGGTCGCTACATGTGAATGGGTGTGTCACCCGAAGGATGCTCGCCCCGCTCTTCGCTTGGCAAATTGTTATCAACTCTGGCATCTCTCCTCTTGATGTGTAGATACTTCTGAACAACTATTGCGCAACTGGAGCCCACCTTACCCAACCTGTGATGGTGGCTTTGCCACCGAGTGAAACCTACCTACAGCAAGCCAGTGGCTGCCCGAGGCTTGCGTCACGTACAAGACAAACCTATTCTGAGGCCCTGTCCCCGGGCCCTTTCTTAGATGATGCATTGAAAGCGGGCGGGAGTAGAGCCCTCTTGTGGGGAAAGAGCCCGCGCTGGTATATTTGCCTAAGTGTTTTTGCAGCAACATGGAAGCCACAACCATCCACAACCGCTCACAACCGGTCAACATGCAAGAACCTACGTCCCATTGCCACCAACCATGGGCAATGACAACCAACAGGTTTGCCGGATTGATTCCACAAAAGCAGGCAAATGGCAACTCACCCAAAATGTGGCCTGTACCCGGTCGACTCTAGTTTGTCTATCTACAGTGGTTTCAAGAGTAGACGGGACAAACCGACCCCATACCCCCTACATGTCCTTTACTGCGCTATCAACTCTGAAACGACATGTCACATGCCTTTATTACCCACATACCCCTACATACCCCCACTGTCCCCTACATGCCTTTTTCTGTACTTGTGGGCGACGATCATCTTCATCACCCAACCTCGTCACCCAGCGCTCGACCTGGTCCACTTCAACCCGCTGGGTGCAACGCCCGGTCTCGCGGTGCTGTTGCCCGGTCGGGCGGTGCTGTTGCTGGCCGTCCCCAATTCAGAGGCTCTGTGGGATCGGTGGCGCACGGTTTGGGAACATCAAAACCGTGGTATGGAATTGGCATCTTTGACGTCTGGTGCTCGAGGTGGGTGCTTGGGAGATGGAGTCTCATGATGTCTCGTGTCACCTCTGGTTTCCCGTCATTCAGGTGCATCAGGAGGTTGCCCTGCAGTGCTGGGGGGCAGTTTGTCAATTGAGTGCTGGGGCCTTGGTTCCTGCAAGTTTGGCAAGGCTCACGCACTCTATGATACTATGGTTCTGTTCTACCCAGATATCCCCGCCAAACTGCGTCATGGTTTTCCAAAGTGAAGTGACGTACAGCCAATCACCACGTGCTCCATCTCACAAAAAACAAGATGGAACCCACGAACCCGAATGCAAGCACGATCGAAAAACTAATATGTCCAAAGGACACTCTTGCGGGACACTCTGTAGGACACCCTTGTAGCACACTCTTGTGGGCCACTCTTGTAGGAAACTCTTGTGGGACACTCTTATAGGACACTCTTGTGGGACACTCTTGTGGGACACTCTTGTAGGACACTCTTGTAGGACACTCTTGTGGGACACTCTTGTGAGAAAATCTTGTAGAACACTCTTGTGGGTCACTTGCAGGACACTCTTGTGGGACACTCTTGTAGGACACTCTTGTGGGTCACTCTTGTAGGGACACTCTATGGGACACTCTTGTGGGACACTCTTGTGGGACACTCTTGTAGGACACTCTTGTGGGACACTCTTGTGGGACACTCTTGTGGTACACTCTTGTGGGACACTCTTGTAGGACACTCTTGTGGGATACTCGTGTAGAACACTCTTAAGGGACACTCTTGT